AATGTTTGATTCACATGTATGGCAGTGTATTGCTGGCCATGTTTAGATGACCACGTTGAAAATGGATTTAAATGGCTCTATGCACGATTTCTTAATGGCGCCAACAACACGCCTCGTGATAATATGCTTTGTTCTATCCGTGTGTACTGTTTCAAATGGTATTGTTATAATGTTAGATGCATTTCAGAGTGTTAACCCAGCAATTTCATGTAAAAATCCATGAATATAATGCTTACAGTGTATTTTTGTACATACACATGTACATACATCTCCTTATGTACTGGTGCCTGAATTATGGGCATATGCCACAATGTTGTTATAGATAGGTCTTATCTATATCCATTGGTTAAATACAGTCTAACAGGGTCTTGTCTCTACATTCTTCAAATTACATTATCATCATCATTACCAGCATTGGATTGTGTGTGGTGGTACGTTAGTTGACGTTTCATGTGGCAATTCACAATATCGATCCCATAAAAAAGACAATGGAGGTACATGATCTATGTCTGCATATCTTAGTTCTATGAGAGAAATATAAATGCAATATCAAAAACTTTTTTTAGTTCTTTCACATGATCACATAAGTGCACGTCGCTGACAGGATAACTGATACTTCAGAGGCACTAAGGTCATTAAAACCACCCAATTATATCTCATTGTGTTGTCAAACGGATATGCTGTCACAATCCGAGCACTCTTACTTATTTATTTATTATTTTCATCAGACAAATGGTCCATACCTAGGGCATTTAAGACTTGCCCTCTCTCTATGAAGACCACATTTCACATTCCTCTGACATACTATGCAACAGCTGTAATGTTGGTCAGTGGATCGTTTCAGCCTTACTAATGGTGCTATTGCGAATTACAAAATAATGACATCAAACAGGTATAGCCTTTGTAATACTGATATACTCGTCTTACCTGGATCTAAAACAATGCATGGCTAAGTATTTAATGAAGTGATCAATATTTATTTTTTTTAAAAATACTATTTGTGGAGCAGAATGTGGATCGTATTTATTCTAAGCCAATAAACCAAAGAAATCATTTAGATATCAAGCTGGAACATTTTTGTTATGTTAAAATATTTGTTGGATTCGCTGCTATATAACGTAGATATCAAACTACAGTGCATAGCTTGTTTCTTGCTTAGAAAATTAATGGAAACATATCTGTCTGATGCATATCATACTTTAGATAACATTTACCTAATACATGTATAGTAGCTGGTATCTAACTTTTGGCACTCCGTACAACTATTACACCAAAATATTTTAGATCACAAACAATTCAAAATCCATGTTAATATCAGTAGAGCATATTAATACAATCATGCAGTGTGTGTCGGAATGATTTTCAATATGCGTCCCATACATCTTTCTAAAATGTCAAATGTATAATGTGATATGTCCACCACGATTCATGTGTTAAGCTAAAACTGGAATGTACATGGCTAATTTCAAAGAGTAAAAAATGCACAGTCAATCCCAAGATCCATTGCTTTCATTCAGGTATCAATCAACTTATGGTATAGTTATGTTGCAGATTTACACGATAATCAAATGAACATATCACCATTATCACCCAATGTTACCTGAGGTTTTCAAAACAAACCGTGCAGTGAATATTCCAGTTTTGCCCTAATATGTACAATTATATATACCATTTGTTGTCAAATTAATTAATAGAGGCTTTTAAAATATAAATCAATGTTTGAACATATAAATGTAAGATACAAATATTTTCTATCCAATTCGATATTAAATACAATAGCTATATAATAATACTATATTGTTTGCTAAACTGTTTTTTTGGGGGGAGGGGTCAAAAATAGTGATTTGGCCGCCATTTTAGTCGTCATTTTTCAAGAAAATTAATTGACAAGAAAAGCTATGTTCTCAACTTCTACCCTAAATTGCCGTTATCAATACTGTGATTGTGTGACAGTACAATGTCATGTCACATAGCACCAAACACACATTCCCCGGCGCCTGGTCCCACACAATGTGTACCACTAATATCACAGGGACGATCATCATTCACGTGTGACTATACAGTTTGTATAGACACTAGTTCCAGTATAATGATATGCACACCGGGTGTTGTCCCAATCTATTAGTCAGTTGACTCCATATATAGTTGCAGTTCAATCAGGTCGCATGGCTGTCACCATGGTATAGACACATGTCTATGTAATCAGTGCTAGACACCTCCCATAGGGTTAAAGGGAATATCTCGGTGGGTGTTCACCCATATTCTCTATATACACATTCCTCGTATTATTACATTTACCTCTTTCCAGAGTCAACAATGTACAATAGGTTCGACAATGATTCACTACCCCAGCGCTCCGAGACTGTATAATACTCACGACATTGTGACAGTGAAATAGCAATTAAACTGTGAATGCTACCTGCATTCATGGAAACATTGTATTTCGCAAACAATGGTCGCCAAATCGCTTGTCAGGTACACACACTATATTGTTTATATTGTTTATGTGAGTACATTTTGTCATTTTAGTGTACTGCTTGCAATGTCCATATGCTAACCGATTAACGTCAAATGCAATTCATATGCTGAGGTTAGGTTCACTCTGTTTCCGTTTCATGATATTCAACAGTGAACATATGTCTTGCATAAGGTATAATTGATAAACAATTAATAGTGATGTCTCAGTGCACGAATCAATAAATACTGAATATATTCAATCTACATGTCATTCATTTGTTTTTAGTTTGTTTGTATATTGCCTATCTTTTTATTAAAGCAAATTGCTTTGGTCAAATTGTGTGTAATGAAAGATACGTTCCATACAGTCATCTATGACACACATTATTTCACTTAATGTTGCTACTATTCTACGTTCGGAAAAACAATTTTTCTGCCGATATGTGATTTTACTCTTCCGTGTATCCACCAAACATGAATTATTTTAACAATCATAATTAGAGTTATTACTTAACTGATAACGATAGAAT